GGACTGATTTATGATGGTCCATAAGAAGAATAACCGTAAGATGGTCCATAAGAATAACCATAAGATGGTTCATAAGAAGAATAACAACCTGTTTTAATAGTTTGTTCATGTTGAACCATCATAAATTTCCATCATAGTGTCTCAGAAATCAAATGTTGGAACGATCATGAACAACCATGATCTCAATGTAGGAATTCGAACTGATTTATGATGGTCCATAAGAAGAATAACCGTAAGATGGTCCATAAGAATAACCATAAGATGGTTCATAAGAAGAATAACAACCTGCTTTAATAGTTTGTTCATGTTGAACCATCACAAATTTCCATCCTAGTGTCTCAGAAATCAAATGTTGGAACGATCATGAACAACCATGATCTCAATGTAGGAATTCGAACTGATTTATGATGGTCCATAAGAAGAATAACCGTAAGATGGTCCATAAGAATAACCGTAAGATGGTTCATATGAAGAATAACAACCTGCTTTAATAGTTTGTTCATGTTGAACCATCACAAATTTCCATCCTAGTGTCTCAGAAATCAAATGTTGGAACGATCATGAACAACCATGATCTCAATGTAGGAATTCGGAAACAGCAATTCGTAATAAACCATTTTGGAAATGTATAGTTGGAAGTATCATGAACCATCACGAATTGTTGGTCCACGAGAGTCAAACTTCTATTGATGGTTAACCATCATAATATTAAAATAACATTTTCCATTATGGAATGAAGGAAATTCGCTCGCGTATCAAAAATCATGAACACGTTATGGAAAACGTTGGATGACGGTGACCATAAAATGATGTTGGACCATTATGAATCGCACTGAAGCCAAGATAAACCATCAAACTTTTTGGATGGCATCATCAAAAATTTTGACTTGGGTATTTAGCATATAAACTGATTCAAATATGCATAAGAATTATAACTAATAGATTCAGAGACTGCTTTATCCTTTTTTTTAAATATATTTATTGAAATAAAAACTTTCTCTTTTTCAATTTTAAAGAAATTTGAAAAAAAATTCCTTACCTTCATTCAAATGTATTTTGTTACGTTAAATCTAATGAGACAAAATCGAAGTAGTTGGGACTAACAGTTTATAAGTGTAAAGACGCTTTTATTTTATCAGAAGTATAATTTTTCAATTATATCTAGTTATATGTGTGACATAGCTATATAGACAAGTAAGGCATTGTCATGTATTTTTTATGATAAATCCAATAAGATAAATATGAAATCAATCAATAAAACTAATAATTTTTAAAACTATAAGGCTTTTGTGCGTGCAAATTCATCAAATCGTTTTATATTTATCTTAAAAGTAAAAATATACAACGGAAATAAACAAAGAATGAAAGAAACAACAATGTCGCCAAAACTACGCCTACTACATTTTAGCTCGAAAATTAAAAAGTTAAGTATTAATAATGAATAATTCGATATAACCATTACTTTATAGTTTAGTTGTGTTCTTATTTGTTTTATATTTACTTGTAAAATAGATTTAAAAGTATCAATTTGGATTTTAGACTGAATAAAAGGAAATAATTGGGATTGATTTCATGTTTTAAGGAAATGAATGAAAGTTCATTTCTATAGTAAACAAAACAATTGTTATTCCAAAAAGGGATAAATCAATGTACCCTGTGAAATGAGGTTTAACAAATTTTTCTGTACAATCAAAATCAACGCAATATACCACCATATTTAAAGATTTTCGGTTTTAAAATTCAGCATCTTCTATCGAAATTACAAGGAGAAAAGAAGGGTTGAAATGTTCACTCAATTCGCTCTTCAGTTAGGTGGTTTCATCATGAGGAGAAAAATTATCGTATTGTGTTAGATTTAGTCTCTATGGTTATTTCTTAAAAATTAATTTTTATTTACTTGCATTATAGACTAAGCTAAATACCACAATTTTTAGCCAATGCTTATCGCTTTTTTTAGATTACAATAAAAAAAAGTGGTGGATACGAAAATTCAAAATGTTTTTTTTTGTGCAAAAATGGTAAATGATAGAATTTTTTTTTCTCACTATTTTTAGTTTCTAATCACTTCTTTTTGTTTGCAACTCTATGTAATCACATTCCAACTCCAACAATCAAACTTGTTTTTATGATTTCAGTCCTGTATAAGTTTTTTTTCCAACGCAAAAATATTACCTTATGGGTCATAGTGTGTGCTTACTTCATTTTTAACAAGAATTCAAGTTTTAAAAGTGGTCTTTATGAAAGATTCATAAACCAGTGCACTACAAAATGTAATTATTTTATTCTCCAAGATTGTTTAAGTAAATCAGAAAAATTTAAATGCTGTAATTAAAAAAAAAATTTTTTTCAAAAATAAAATTATATATTTATTTTTACCTCATCCAATACATCAGCAATTTTAATGATGATTTCATCACTAAGACTTCTGAATGTTGGAACACTAAAAAAAAAAGAGTATAATGCAATATAGATTTAATACTAAATGCATGAATATTAAATAATTTAGTGATAAAACAAGTAATATATTTTAAAAAAAATTAAAATCAATTCCTGCTTAGGTCAATAAAGAAATATTTTATCTTAGTTACTTTTTATTAATAATTAAAAAAATTTCTCCCATATAAAACTAAAACTAATTGATTAAATTTAATTAATGAATTAATTTTTGAAAAAAACTGTATTAACATCAAATGTCATCTACTACAAGTTTAAAAAAAGTTTTTGAACTTGAGTGACTCAATAAAAATTAACTATTGAAAATTTAAACAAGATACATAAGTTTATATAGGGAAAGTGTAAACTTATGGAAGGAATCGGAGAAAGAAAAAGGCGCGTGGTATGTCTCCGACAACTATTAAAGTATAAATTTGGTCACGTGGACATACGTGCTACTATTAATGTGCTTTATTGCTCTTTTCACTGTGTTAATTACTATTAATCACTGGACAAGCCCTAAAAATTTTTATTCCCAAGAAACAGTTTCACTTTGGCCCCAGTTGAGCTCAAAATTGGCTCAATATGGGTGATATATGAACATGCATCGATGAACCAATACAGAGATGTCTTGATTTTTTTTATATTGGTCCAATATAGGAGCAATATCTGGCTTATGGGCAAATATAGGGTTCATATTGGCTGATTAATGAATATAAAATATAGGGTGAATCTGATAGTTCCATACAGGGTGCAGGGGTGATTGTGAGCCCAAGTCAAAATTCCGGAAAATTTCTTGAGTAAAAAAAAAGTTTAAATCGAAAAATTTGAAAAAAATTTAAACAAGNGTTCATATTGGCTGATTAATGAATATAAAATGTAGGGTGAATCTGATAGTTCTATACAGGGTGTCCCGAAACGACCGCATAAGCTCTGCACAGCTAGATTCCTCGTTGGGAGTACATAAAAACTGCCCAAAGAAGCGTTCCTGTACGATACAAACTTTACGAGAAAAATACGAAATACAAAGTATGACGTCACAGCCGGTGCAAGGAAGAAAAAAACACTTTATTGGACATATCAGCAACAGTATTTGCATATCTTTCCAGACGATAATGTTGAAAACGAACACTTTGAACATCTGATTTAATTTGTGCATTGTATACTGCTCTTGATATGTTCCACAAATTGTTTTTTCTTGCACCGGTAGTGACGTCATACTTTGTATCTCGTATTTTTCTCGTTAAGTATGGATCGTACAGGAACGCTTCTTTGGGCAGTTTTTATGTACTCCCAACGAGGAATCTAGCTGTGAAGAGTTTATGCGGTCGTTTCGGGACACCCTGTATAGCGCGGATATTAGTTGTAAAGTGGCTGTAANGGAGCACAATCAGCCCTGAGGGTGTCCCGGAACGACCGCATAAACTCTGCACAGCTAGATTCCTCGTTGGGAGTAGTACATAAAAACTGCCCAAAGAAGCGTTCCTGTACGATGCGTACTTTACGAGAAAAATACGAAAAACAAAGTATGACGTCACAGCCGGTGCAAGGAAGAAAAAAAACACTTTATTGGACATATCAGCAACAGTATTTGCATATCTTTCCAGGCGATAATGTTGAAAACGGACACTTTGAACATCTGATTTAAATTGTGCATTGTATACTGCTGTTGATATGTTCAATAAAGTGTTTTTTTCTTGCACCGGTAGTGACGTCATACTTTGTATCTCGTATTTTTCGCGTTAAGTATGGATCGTACAGGAACGCTTCTTTGGGCAGTTTTTATGTACTCCCAACGAGGAATCTAGCTGTGCAGAGTTTATGCGGTCGTTTCGGGACACCCTGTATAGCGCGGATATTAGTTGTAAAGTGGCTGTAAAATATCGGGTAAATTGGACAGTTCTATCTGGGGCTAATATCGGGAAAATAACAGCTCTTTGAACCCTTATTGAGCCAAGATTAATGAACATTGGTTCAATGATGGCCCAAGTTATTTTACTGCCAGGGTTTATTTAATAAAATGAAAAAAGTCGTACCTTTTCAAAAAGTTTGTATACTCAGCTTGTCTAACTAATCCTGTGCGCATCATAATAGTTTGGAAAGCGTTTCGCTCAATAGCCCACAACTTACAATCCACAACAGCTGAAAATATACATGCATTAATAAAACTGAGAAGACATTTTAACTGTTTTAAATTCGTTGATTTTAGCTTACATTACGAACAACATGAAACGGTATTTTTTTTTCTTTTTACCTCGTATTGTGGCTGTTCTTGTGCAGTTGTACAGTATTGCAAGTTCTCCAAAAACCTTTCCAGACCCCATTGTGCACAGGAATTTTCCCTCTTTCGTCACTTCCACTTTACCTTCTGCAATTAGAAACTACAATTTAATGATCAGATCTTCTAATTTAATAGTTATTAAATCAATGAAAAAAATAAAAAAAACGAGTTTCAGTGTGAGTATCACTTTTCTAACTCCAGAACTGAGTATTTAAATTTGGATCCTGGAGAATAAAGAAAAAAAAACAAAAAAGTCCGTAAGGAAAGGACGTTTAAAAATCATAGGTTTAACATTGAATCACGGTGGCTCAGGAGATAGAGCACTGGACTTCCAATGACATGCCCAATCAGTGGGTTAGAATCTCCTTGCCGTAAGAAGTTTTCCTCTCCATGTCAAGAAAATGCAGATTAGTTTGACCAAAAAGTTCTCCATAGCTTGTTTGTCCCAATGCTTGGTGCAGGAGATCCCTTGTTCTCAGGATTGAGTTCAACATAAATACTCATAAATCCCAAAATGAGTGGCTGTTCAACGTCGGTTATAAAATAAAAATAGGTTTAACATTAAGTATTGTTATTTTAAACTGCACATGATTTTCTTAAATATTTAAAAATAATATTAGAGATGTTTGCTAACTTGTTGCTCAAAACCGAGGGGTTTTTTTATACAGTGCGCAAAAAAATAAATAAATAAAAAATAAAAAAGGACCATCTTGAATAACTTTTGATCCTAATGAACGGATCCTCACGTTTTAGGACTCAATCTTAATGCCTCGAAGAGGTGACCTCGAATATGCTAATTAATTAGTGCTGACGATAATGTAATTTGCGAAATCAGGCACAAAAACGTGCTTTTTCTGAATAAACATACCTTTTTTTCGACGGATTCAGATTTCTGACTCCCAAAATATAAGGGGTAGCGGCAATCTGGGAAATAGGGTCCCAATAGTTTGGTCAGATGAGCTCTCCAAAGTTTGGACCCCTTAATGTTACTTCTATTTTTATTGTTACTATGTACTTACTTTTTATTGTTACTTAATGTTACTACAATTTTACATGGCAAAATACAAAATTTGTGCAAAATCGGTTGAATAGTTCCTGAGAAATAGAAATTTAAATACCTGAACTTTTGTAAATTCACTTTCTCAGGAGCTATTCAACCGATTTTGCTCAAACATGCAAAATTATATGCTTTAAAATTTTGCGAAAAACTGTATACCTTACAATTCAAAAGTTTTTTTTAACCATTATTAAGTAAAATAGTAAAAAATAATAAATATTTACTAAATGTTTTTTTTTTGCATGGAATTATCTTTGGATAAACGAATTTTATAATTGTGTGCAAATTTATAGAGATATAGCGAAATACGTAAAAAGTAAAATTAACATTTACTTTGGAGCGCTCTCCTGACACCAAAATATTGGGACCATTTTTCCCAGATTGCGGCATCTCCTATATTTTGGGATGCAGGAATCCGTCATAAAAAAAATAATAAAAAAATTAAAAAAACGGTATGTTTATTCAGATTAAGTATGTTTTTGTGTCTGATTTTGTAACTTAAAACATCGTCAGCGCTTATTAATTAGCATATTTGGGGTCAAATCAATATTTCTGAAGTTATTTGAAATTACGTGTTTATTTTGTTTATAGTTATGCGCTTTTGAAAAGCGTTGCAAAATAAATAAATAAATTAAATAAAATAAACAACTTCAGCAATAAATGAAATAAAAAAAGTTATTTATTAAAAAGCAAAGTAAACGGAGAAAATTGCTGTTTTGTGGTAAATCGAGCCGTATCACAAGTCGGTGCTGTTAGTTAAATTTTTGTTTGATGTGCTGAAATTCTAGAATGCCCAATCTAATAATGTAAAGTCACTAGAAAGGGTTAAAGAAACCAATAATAAATAAAAACTAGAAACATTTTATATGCCTTTCAATTCTGTTTTGTTAATTCCGTTACATGGATTATTGACTTTCTTTTTTTACCCCATACGATGAACAGGAGTTAAGTTAATAATATTATTAAATGATTAAATAGTCATTCTTATCACAGCATATTCAGGCAAATTTAGAGATTTCGTGATTGATTAGAAAACATCGATGGCTTAAATGTTGTAAATTAAACTTTGCAGGTGGAATAAAAGCATCGAATCTTTCATACAGAATAGGCTTGTTTAGCACTTAAGTAGGTCATAGCAGCAGGGTGCGTAGCCAGATTTTTCAATTAAAAATAAGCACTTTTTAAGCGCTTAAAAATATTTATAATCACTTTTAAAAAATCATAATTAGGATATGTTCAGCAATAAAAATTATTTTTTTCTATCGTTTAAAGTTCTAAATTTATAAACATAAAATCGACAAAATGTAAAAACATAATCAAAAACATTACATAATCATCATAAAATCATTAGTTTTTTGATAAATATTGCAGATTAAATTGTGAAAATAGAGGGTTTTTTTTTGTAATTTACGATGACAATAGGACACGACTAAGAAAAAATCTCTTTCTGAAAGATAGAAAATGAAACACTTTTTACAAACCCCGAATAAAAAAAGCATTTTTAAGGGCTTTTTTAAAAATTGTACTATAGGTGCTTAATCAAAAATAAGCACCTTTAAGCACTTTTTAAAAACGCTTCGCACTCTGAGCAGAATCGGAAAAATTTATATCTACTACAGAAATGAAGACACATGTAATAATGTTACAGTAAAACACGCATGCAAAGATGTTTTACAAGTAAAAAAACTCATAATCATAATTACAGCATTTGTGTGGTTAAAACATATCCTATTTTTTATCATAAAAGAGCAAAACATCCATCGTAGGTTAATGCTTATTAATTGCTTATCTCTGTAAAAACTGCGGTGCTTTCTAAATTTAGTACACTATCCGGCCAAAAGTGTCCAGATACACAGTGGTATGGACTTAGAGTGTCCCGAGACACATATTTAATATGATGTTGGTCCCCCTTTTGCATTCATGACAGCCTGCACACGTCTTGGGAAGACTTTTCCACCAGTTTTTGAATAGGAATTGACTTCCATCACAACTGAAGTGAATGATTGCATTGAGGAGGTTCGATTTGCCTGGTTACATAATCTGCTCTCTAATTCGTCCTAAAGATGATCTATGGGATTAAGATCTGAGAAGGCCAGTCCAGTTTTTGAACACCCATTTCGTCAAATCACGTCTGTGCGAGTCTCGATGATGTGTGAATGGAGCAGTTATCCTGTTGGAACAGGAATGGGCCTTCCCCGAGATATTGTCTTTAGAGTTGGGAATGCAACATTGTCCCCATACATCTCAGACTTCATGTTTCCAACCACAGGAACTAATGAACCAGTCCAAACCACGAGAAACACCCCCATACCTTTATGCTTCCATAAAAACCGGATGTCCTAATAATTTTGGCCAGATAGCGTATTAAACAACCTAACATTATTGTGTTAAGGAATATATTATTTCAATGTAACATCAAATCCCTACTCACCCTAAGGGGTGAAGTTAAATATTAACGCCAATAGTTAAAAATGCTTTCACCAAGCTCACGCATAAATCGCGAATTACTTTTATCTCTAAATTATCCAAAAATAAGCGTGAATCATTTCGCCTCCACTCATTTTCGGGTACTTAAAATATCGTCAGTTTGTTGTTTACAATCTAGTACGAAATAGAGAGAGTTTGCTGTTGTTTTGCAAACTGCTATGCATCAACAAAAAAAAGTCGTTACAAAATGTATGAATGTTTTCAGTTGTGTAATAAAGATAAATATATAGGCCGGGATAGCCTGGTTGGTAAGACGTTTGACTCGTGTTGGTGAGAGCGGGAGTTAGAATCCCACAGGGGCGAACAAAACCCGCATATTAAATGGTGACCGGTACACGTTAAATCTTTCGGGGTCGCAAAGTCCTCTGAAACCCCGTAACGAATCAATACTTCTGGGGATACTGAATCGGAGATGGATCGTTCTCTGCTTCAGATCAAAATTACGATCTGTGGATGAATGAGTGGATGTATGAATCGGTTCATTCTGTAAAACGGGCTGAGATGGCAGAAATCGTATTCTTGGTCATAGATGACGCTACTAAAAAACGAGAAATGCACCCTCTGTCTTAAACTCGCTTTGTTTTCTACGCAGGCTTGTTGGCACGGCAAATAGGCAATTGACACAACAACAGATAAATATATTTGAATTCTTAAATAATTGTAAAATGCATTAAATAGTTTATGCTATGCTACGAGTATGTTTGATTTATAGATAATTTTTATTTTAAGATTTAGAATGCACAATGAATTAACTGTTCTTATTTTAAATTGCATCATAAAAAAGAACTTCAGTGATTTTTTGAGCATCATATCTTATTGTTATTACAAGTTCTATACTAAAATATATATAGTTTAACGTAAAAGAACATTCTTGATGTTTCACTATACACTACTCTCATGTAAAGAAATTGCCGCCATAAAATACGCTGAAAATTGATGACAAAAAATCTATATTGAACAGTGCTAAGTTACAAACGAGGTATAATAGTTTTTACTTTACACAAAAAAAGAACTCATTAGAAAAAAGGTTAAAAAATACCTTCCATAACGTAGACAACGGATCCAGCATCGCCTTCCTTAATGATAAGACTGTCTGCCAGATACTCAATGGGAGCCATACAATCCGTGATCTCTTTCATCTGAACTGCATCCAGGTTCTTAAGAAAGTCATTGTCCAAGATGGCTTTCTGGATCAGTAGGTAAGAACTGAAACAAAATCAATTTTTCACANGCTTTATAATCTCAATTTTATTGAAATACCATACAAATAATATGGGAACCATTAATTTGATGACCTAGAATAGTTTTTATTTTATTTTTAATCATTTTGATTATAATCAAATTATTTAATTAAAATTGTTACTTTAATTGTTAGTTCTCAAAACGATTGTCTATGTAAAACTGTACCATCTGACCTTATCCCTAAATAGCCATAATCTTGAGTTTCAAAATAAAAAATATTTAATCTAAAAGTGAAAGAGTTTGAATATATAAAAATGAGTTATTTTACAGAACGATAGAATTGTATATGACGGTCAATATATATATATATATATATATGCTTGATTTGTTTTATTTAATATGTTCTATTTTTGTTTCAATTTTTTTGGGTGCTCCGCACACAATATATCAATACAAGTGTATTTATGTATTTTATTTTGGCTATATTAATACAATATTAGAAAGCACTCTCTTTTGCGAATATAATCGTGTGAGCTGATGACAAGATTATATCTTTTCAGTACCTTGTTTTTTTTTAATTTTTAATATATATTTTTTTAAAATCTTTTTAAAAATCTTTTATTTTAATACTTTTTCTTCTTCATTTTTCTTTCATCTTTAACTATTTCTTTCCCTATTTTGTCTATATTTTTCACTTATTTTATGAGTTCTATATACTTGCAGCTTATGCGCAATAAATAAAACTTATTAACTTCTTCTTAATTTCCTTCGTTTTTCTCTCTTTTTCTTCTTATCCTTTTTGTCTTATGAAATCAAAAAGGAATAAATAAAAGAGAGATTAACGAAGAAAATTAAGAAAAATAATAATAAGCTTTATATACTGCGCATAAGTTACAAGTACATAGTACTCATAAAATAAACATCCAAAACAGCGGCGATGGCCTTACCATTTTTTTATATAGCGATATTCTAACCATTTTTAAAAAAAATAATTTGCAATTATTATTTTACATATGAAATTTTATTGAATACCTATGATACTCTCAGAAAAATTGGTTCATCATCGAATCATATTATCCGAGTGTGGATCTTGCAATTTTGTTGTAAATTTTAAAAATGCTCTATTGAACCATATTATTGTGAATTTGATAAGGATTAATTTACATCATAAGGTTTGACTAGGATTAATTTATATCATAAGGTTCCATTAAAAGATTCGATTTCCAAAAGTCACTAGAAAAAACAACTGTCCTATGTTTTATAAATGGTGCTATTAACACAAAAATGACCAATTAATAAAAATTTTCACAACTTTAATTACAATTCTCTAAACATGAATAAGTCGGCTGAATTTTAACTATTATAAAAACATGTGTATTGACCAAAAAATATGTTTATTAGTGCAAAGTTTGAACGTTCGTAAAATTTATCATTCTTCAAAAAAAATGAGAAAACTTTTCAAAATTTGCGGACAAATTTTGGAACAAATTTTATATCAATGAAATGCACTCTTTTAACCGTAATCGGATTATTCGTAAAGGCAAAAGTAACCTTTTCGATTCATCGAAAGTAGCATTTTGACACGATTACAAAGCTTTGAATGCATCAGCAATTTTGTTTTACACAGTAAAAAAATTAAATATTTTTATTTTTTTGACGTGTAGATATTTGAGTAACCATGCCAGTATCACTTAACTTTACGCACTTATCTTAACACGACGATTTTTTCCCCCAAAGAATTACGGAAACTTAAAGCTTTTGCTACTTCAGACATTTTTATCAATACAATAAACTCTTTATCAGTTAAGGTGATATTATAACTATTTTTAGTGATTGAATATTTTTCTCCATGTTCAATTTTTTGCTTACTTATCCATTTTGTTATCTATAAAACTGAAAATAAAATTTCGAATAATGTATTACAATAACTCATGAAATGATAAAAATATTCTATTCACAAATATAAAATAAAAATGTCCCTTCCTCAAATTCCTAAAACAAAATCACAAATGCATAATATTTTCCTACATTTTCGCCAAACAGCATAAGAAAGCTATAGATTGAGTGCATTAAACTTGAAACAAAGTTTTATTTATATACTTTATAAACATATTGCGAAAAGAATTTATTGGATTTTTAAAATATTTAAACAAAATTATTAATCTTTGTTTTTCAAAACTCGCCAACGCGGCGATATTTTTCTTCCTAGATTGAAATTTTTAAACTCAAGGAATAATACAATGGAAAAAATGTTTTTTATTGCATTTATACAAAATACTTGACTTTGCCTAAAATCTTGTGTGAAAATTTTAATTCTGAAATTTCAATTTTTGTAAGGACATTTAAAAAAAAAATTTTTTTTTTGAAAAATTAACGTTACAGAAATGTTATATATAACAGGGGGTTGCGTAAACGTTGCGAAAAACTTCTAGGGAAGTTAAGGCACATCATCAGGATTAAAATTGCTTAGAAACCGATGCTCGAAACGTCGTCGTACGCCTCTATTAAGTCCTGTTCAGAAGTACACGAAAAAACAGCTCACATTGGGAAAGTATCCCTATCGGCGTACGACGACATTTCCGCGCATATTCAATTGAGCAATTTTGATCCTGATGATGTGCCCTCTCTTCCCTAGAAGTTTTTCGCAACATTTACACCATCGTCTGCTATGTAAGTTTTTAAACTTGTACTTTTCGACAAAAAAAATATACTAAAAATGTTGTTTAAAAAAAAACTATCAACTGAAATCAAATGAAGATTTTAAAAAAAGCGACGGGGAAAATATCATTTTATCATGCAAATTTTTATGAACCCAAATAATTCACAATTCCAGTAACTTTTCCAATGATTGAAAAATTGTGTTAATACTTTTGAAAGAATAATAAAAAAAAAAACTAGTAACTTTTCAAAGAACAAGTAATGAAACAACTATGAAAGTAGGAATTGAGTTTATTTTTTTTATCTATAAATAAAGTTAATTCCTACTTAGTCAATTCCTACTAAAAATTTATTTTAGTTACTTTTCATTAAATAATTACAATTTCTCTCATATAAAACTAAATTCATTAATTAAATTTAGAAATTGGAAGGAATAAAAAGGAGCGTGTTGTATCAGACAACTATCAAAGTCTGGTGACGTGAACCACACGTGCTAACACGTAATGTTCTTTATTGAATTTATCTCACGCAGCGAATATAAAACAATTGGGTATAATATGAAAAAAGCACAACTACTTCCACTTACTAGGAATAACATTTACCTTTTAGTTTAATTAATAAACTAAGTTTTATATATGTTTACTAAATTCATAAACTTCGGTAAAACAACAATATAAATTATTTCCAAAGGAACTAGACTAATACAATTCCAACCTGGCGAGTAGCGACTTATAAACAAGACACTTCGTTTGATGCTTTTACTTGTTGCAAGAAATCAGGTTCGCAGAAAATGCTGTTTACTAGTTAAATTTAGTAGGAATAACACGATCTGTGACGTAGGCTATAGTATACCCAATTAAATATTTAAATACGCGCAATAAAGTCTTTTTTTGTTCAAATAGAGCTATAAGTTAGAAATTATCACTGATGTTATTTTTAAAATATATGAAAAACCGAATCGCTTATAGTAAAATGTAAAAAAATGACTAACGCTTAACCCATCATAAAATTCCATTTCGTTTTTCACTCAACCTTATTTAATGAATGAATTAATATTTGAAAAAAAACTGTATTAACATGAAGTGTCATCCAGTACAAGTTTTTAAAAAAAGTATTTGATCTTGAGTGGATGAATAAAAAGTATTTTATTAACGAATTGAAAATTTGAACAAGATAATAGGGAGAGCGTGAACTAATAGAAGGAATTGAATAAAAGAAAACCGTGTAGTAACTTTTTAAAGATTAAATAACTGTTAGCGTAACTTTTCAAAGACTGAAAAACTGTGTAGAGCAGTAATATTAGATCAGGAAGAGTTTTCAAAAAACTGTAACTTTTCGTTAGAATAATATATTTCGCATCATGATGATTACTTAAGGATTTAGAACTCTGAAAATGATTCAGGTATCTTTTTTTAAATGAATCTCCAGACGAACTACAGGTATGAGGGGGCATTACCCTCCTTGAAATCGTAATTGTCGTTTGTTGGAGGGCTTCCCAAATTTCTCATTCGGGACCGAGTTTTTTTTATTTTATTTTCGTTTGCGTCATTATCAGAGTTTATTGGGGACACATAAGCATTAAGAAGACTGAAAAGAAAGACCGCCTTTCATAATTAAGATATTTTTCATGGTTTTTCAGGTTAATGCGGAATGAAATATCATCATTAATGTACCAATTCTATTCTTGAGAATGCGAATTCTCTATAAGCGAATCAGTTATTAATATAATAAGAATTACTGAAACATAATTAGGAATTTTAATTTTAAATTATTACTAGAATTAATCAAAAGTTTGAATTTACAAAATACAGTATACTCTCGATATCTCAAAGTTGAATTATTCACAATTAAGTTATTCATAAGCCTTTCATAATTAAGTTATTTGTCATGATTTTCCAGGTTAATGCGGAAGGGAATATCATCATTAATGTGCCAATTCTATTCTTGAGAATGCGAATTCTCTATAATCGAATCAGTTATTAATATAATAAGAATTACTGAAATATAATTAGGAATTTTAATTTGAAATTATTACTAGAATTAATCAAAAGTTTGAATTTACAAAATACAGTATACTCTCGATATCTCAAAGTTGAATTATTCACAATTAAGTTATTCATAAGCCTTTCATAATTAAGTTATTTGTCATGATTTTCCAGGTTAAAGCAGAAGGGAATATCATTATTAATGTACCAATTCTATTCTTGAGAATGCGAATTCTGTATAATCGAATCAGTTATTAATATAATAAGAATTACTGAAACATAATTAGGAATTTTAATTTTAAATTAAAACTAGAATTAATCAAAAGTTTGAATTTACAAAATAGAGTTTACTCTCGATATCTCAAAGTTGAATTATTCACAATTAAGTTATTCATAAGCCTTTCATAATTAAGTTATTTGTCATGATTTTTATGGTTAATGCGGAATGGAATATCATCATTAATGTACAAATTCTATTTTTGAGAATGCGAATTCTCTATAATAAAATCAGTTATCAACATAATAAGAATTGCTGAAATATAATAATGAATTTTAGTTTGAAATTATTACTAGAATTAATCATAAGTTGGAATTCACAAAATAGAGTTTACTCTCGATATCTCAAAGTTGAATTATTCACAATTAAGGTATTCATAAGCGTTTCATAATTAAGTTATTTGTCATGATTTTCCAGGTTAATGCGGAATGGAATATCATCATTAATGTGCCAATTCTATTCTTGAGAATGCGAATTCTCTAAAATCGAATCAGTTATTAATATAATAAGAATTACTGAAACATAATTAGGAATTTTAATTTTAAATTATTACTAGAATTAATCAAAAGTTTGTATTTACAAAATACAGTATACTCTCGATATCTCAAAGTTGAATTATTCATAATTAAGTTATTTGTCATGATTTTCCAGGTTAATGCGGAAGGGAATATTATCATTAATGTGCCAATTCTATTCTTGAGAATGCGAATTCTCTATAATCGAATCAGTTATTAATATAATAAGAATTACTGAAATATAATTAAGAATTTTAATTTTAAATTATTACTAGAATTAATCGAAAGTTTGAATTTACAAAATACAGTATACTCTCGATATCTCAAAGTTGAATTATTCACAATTAAGTTATTCATAAGCCTTTCATAATTAAGTTATTTGTCATGATTTTCCAGGTTAATGCGGAAGGGAATATCATCATTAATGTGCCAATTCTATTCTTGAGAATGCGAATTCTCTATAATCGAATCAGTTATTAATATAATAAGAATTACTGAAA